TTCGAATGGTGCCTCCGTCATTGCCTGGAGGACCGTGGGTAAGTCCCAGGTAGAGAATCAATGGACCACTGGAGGTTTCAGATTCGCCGCTCCCTTAAGGAAGCATTTTAAGACTGGATGTTGGGACAAGGGAGGAGCATCCACCACCACCCCCAGGACCGTGGAGAGAGCGGAGACCTGTCTTCTAAGGGTGCTGGGGGCCAAACCTTTCTCCAGACCTTCCTGCAGGAAGTCCAGAACCTGGGGTACCGAGGCCAAGGCAGGAACAATGTTCTTTGCCCTACACCAATCAGCAAAGGCCATCCAGGAGGCGTTGTAGATGCGGGTGGTGGACTGCCTCCTGGACGCCTCAACGGTCCTAATGACCTTTGAGGAGCAATTGGCCCCTCTCAGCTGCTCCCGTTCAATCGCCAGACGGTCAGATGGAGCCACTCCGGATCCGGATGCTCTAGAGACCCTTGGTGTAGGGACACCTCCCCCCGGGGGGATCCTCCAATGGGGAGCTGAGGACAGCTCCACCAAGTCTGCTAGCCAGGGACGGCATGGCCAGAAGGGGGCCACTAGAATCATCTCTGCCCCTTCTGACACAAGCCTCCTCAGAATCCCGGGAATGAGGGGAAGGGGGGGAAAGGTGTAAAGGAGACCTGGTGGCCATCTGCAGCGGAGGGCGTCCGTGTCCATGGCTCCTCTGGAAGGGAACCTCGCTACGAAGTTCGGCAGCTGGGCGTTCACTGGGGTTGTGAAAAAAATCCACCGTTGGTTGTCCAAACCTTTCGCAGATCCGCTGGAAGATGCTGGGATGGAGCTGCCATTCTCTGTTGTCGACCGTCTCCCTGCTGAGCCAATCCGCTTGCTGGTTCTCCATCCCAGAGATGTGTTCCGTTCTGATGGACTGAAGATGTCTCTCTGCCCAGTTTCCTAACCAGAGGGCCTCGTCGCGAAGGGCCTTGGAGTGCGTGCCTCTTTGCCTGTTCACGTGGGCCTTGGCTGCCACGCTGTCCATCAGGACCAGGACGTGATGGCCGGTCACCGTAGTCTTGAAGTGTCGTAGGGCCAGTTGGATGGCCCTGAGCTCCAACCAGTTTATGTTGTTGTGCAGATCTGATGGAGTCCAGCGGCTCTAGGCTATCTGGGCCTCCAGGTGTGCTCCCCAGCCGAACAGGCTCGCGTCCATCGTGAATACCTTCCTCGCTGGCTCCTTGAAGGGGGATCCCCTGTCCAGTGCTGGGGTCAGCCACCAATGGAGCGAGAGCAACACCTGGGGCGACACCCGAACCTTGAATCTGGCGTCGCTCGTCCCCGCCTTCTGGTATGGAAGCAGGAACCACTGAAGCTCCCTGGCGTGGAGGCGAGCCCAAGGCATGATCCCTATACAAGAAATGAATTTCCCAAGGAGCCTGGAAAGAAGAACTACAGGGACAGAGCGTAATTTACGAACATGAATCAGCTGCACAATGCTGTTCTTTCGCTCCTGGGGAAGGAAAACCGACCCCGACCCCGAATCTATAATAGATCCGAGGTGCTGGAGCCTGGTAGATGGAACCAGCTGGCTCTTCTCTAGGTTGATAG